TGAGTACGTTTTTTATTTAAATTATTGTTTGAATAACTCTACGCTAAATGGCCACATAAGTGGACATAACTGTTTCTTTTTATAAATATCGTTTTCAATATTAGATGAACACACTGCAATAAAGAACAAATTCACTGAATGTTTCTTGCAATTTAAAAAAATGGTGTTGTAGATTTTGAAGCAAAAAGTCAAAAGTAAAATGGTTACAACTCGTCTTGAAGTTGGAAAGCTCTTTAGGCCACGCAGTTCTTTTTCATTCAAAAGTTTAACCAAATTTCGATTTCACCTTATAAATAATATGTTCTAATATATTAAAAGAACTTAATATAATAATATATAAATCTCTTCTGAAAAACACACTTATCCATATAACATTCACTTTAACCGAAAGTAGATTCCACTTCATTCTTCAGATATTCTAAATGTGTAAGTTATTGGTGATAGGACCTCTTGTGAGACCGCATAGGTAGGTACCATCACCCTGCGTATTTCTGCAGTGAAACAGTAATGCGTTTCGGTTTGAAGGGTGGGGCAGCCGTTGTAACTTTACTTGAGACCTTAGAACTTATATCTCAAGGTGTGGATGTCTATGGGCTCCAGTAACCACTTAACACCAGGTGAGCGCTGAGCTCGTCCACCCATCTATGCAAAAAATAATAATAAGCAATTAAGTTAATTATAATACGTCCTCGTTCAATAAGGGAAATTAGACCATAACCACTTAGACTAGACTAGTTTAATTTTGGTTGTAGCTTAGAATATAAAGTCTAAGCACTGGGAAGATCCGGCGAGAAACTCAGCGGGCTGTGTCTGAGGGTTAATTTACTCGCCGAGCCATTCGTCGCAAGCGACGTGTTCGACGAGAACGATGACCGATGCTTGGGGTATCTAAAAGCACCATTAGTGGATCGAGAGGATCCGAAATGACGTGTATCTTTGACGACCCCTCGATATCTACTCTTTATATTATTCCTTGGTTTGTTATTTGTTGTTCGTAATCGCAGGACATTTTACTCCGAACATATAAAAGACAAACACACCATTTGAACAATATATATAATGTGTACAATGTTATATATAAAGTAAAAAGTGTAAACAACGCTAGGCACTACAAGATACGAATTGAAACTAAAATTACGTTTATACAATAAAAACTTAAATCGACGCGCGCGAATCTCGTCGCATGACGTCACGGGACACCTGCGCGTTCAGGAACTCCGATCGCATCCGATGACGCCCGAGTGCGACCGAGTGTTGCACGCTACAATTCGACTACTTATAGGGTTCAGTACGTTGTAATTCAACTTACGGAACTTTAAAACGATTATTACTACGACACAATAATTTCACCATTTTATTGTCAAATTATACGAGACGATGTAAAAATTAATTTATCGTAAACTCTTTATTGAATAATCGCTGTTCGTTTCTATGTTTAATGTTCACACGGCGCTTGACGGTAGAGATTGCGATAAACGTGTTATTAAATTTCACTGTTACTTTAATAATTTAATAATTCGTAATAATAGTTCTACAACGATTGTTATTGGAATTAAATATTAGGAAATAATTAGAAAAAAGTTTGTTGTAACGAAATTTATGTATATTATCTATGGTTTGTATTGGCTTAAAGGATAAGAGACTTTTTGGTGGGAACGCGAGGAGTGAAGGTGTGTGATTTGTTTTATTTTGTCTATTTAGTGTTTCTTCAGGTTAAAATGTGTAATAACGATGGTTTATAAACTGTTTAGTATCTGTGAAAGTGCACAAATGTGGGGAAATCAAACAAAGCCGCTGAACGTAATTTCTCGGGATCCTCCAAAAAGTTTTTTTTATTTTATTTTATTTTTTTATGCTTAGATGGGTGGACGAGCTCCAAGCCCACCTGATGTGAAGTGGTTACTGCAGCCCATAGACATCTACAACGTAAATGCGCCACCCACCTTGAGATATAAGTTCTAAGGTCTCAAGTATAGTTACAACGGCTGCCCCACCCTTCAAATCGAAACGCATTACTGCTTCACGGCAGAAACAAGCAGGGCAATGGTACCTACCCGCGCGGACTCACAAGAGGTCCTACCACCAGTGATTACGCAATTTATAATTTTTGCGGGTTTGATTTTTATTACACGATGTTATTCCTTCACCGTGGAAGTCAATCGTGCACATTTGTTAAGTACATATTCCATTAGAAAAATTGGTATCCGCCTGCGAGATTCGAACACCGGTGCATCGCTCAACACGAATGCACCGGACGTCTTATCCTTTAGGCCACAACGACTTCAACTGCTGAAAAAGTCCGCTGAAAAAGTCTCAGTAAATGACCACCATTTTAATAACTCCGACTGGGTTCCGAGTCCGATCCGGTCCGGAGTCGGGGACCGGCTGTGAGTGGCGGGAGTTTTTAGTGAGGTTCAACTCCCACATAGCCCACCCGCTACGCGGATGGGGATCCGGCAATTGTCAGGTCTGTGGAAAAGAAAATCCGGCGGCTCTCAACCACCGAGATTGACAATTAAGACATTTTAATCAGTGGTGACCCAAGCAATTTACATCTACTGTTATACTAGATGTTACGTTCAATAGATTATCGATGTATCTATATAATAATATATATAAATGAATTGCTGTTCGTTAGTTTCGCTAAAACTCGAGAACGGCTGGACCGATTTGGCTAATTTTGGTCTTGAATTATTTATGGAAGTCCAGAGAAGGTTTAAAAGGTAGATAAATTAATGAAAATGCTCGGAATTAAATAAAAATAACAATTTTGATTTTCCTTTGATGTGTCCCCCGTCAGACGGATAACTTTTGTTTGTTTTAAGTTTATTTTATACAAAAGCTAAAGTCTTTTTGTAACGCTAGAAAATTGAATTGAATTAATTTTTTTTTAAATTAACGCCATCTAGCGTATACGTGGCACAGTGTGGGGAAATAATATAATTATGAAACACTGCTTAGTGCTCTTACTCGACACAGCATGGCGTGATTGTGCTATCTTGTCTGTGGTTCGAGGGTGAGATTGGCACAGCACTATAAGCGGAACATTCGAGTTCCGTAAGACTATTCGTATAAAAGGACAAGTCACTTTGTCCGAAGCTTTTTCAATCAACATCTCTCGAGCTGCAGTGCAAGTTTTATCACGTGTTTACCAAAGTCAATTTAACAGTTCCTTGATGTATTTTTATTCAACCAGGGTCCTAATAACTGGTACATTATATGTACATCAGTTAGGGTGCGGAGTGTGACCTTACTATCACCTTCGAGATCCCGCAGTACTTTTCTGCGTGGACGCTGCCGGAAGCGAGGTGCTCTGGCTAGGCGATCCAAGAAAGTACGTGACTACCGTAGAACAAGAAACACACCTGCATACACAACCTGGCTCGAATCCAGCAACCCCAGTTGCGGGGAAGCAATCCAGTGAACGTTCATCGTCCATTTGTGAACCAAACTGGTGAAACCATCTTTGTTTATAGTATTGTTATTTAAATCTCACTTTCATTGAATACTTTCTCATGTGTTCGGTATACCTACCGACACACATTTAACAAGGATACCTTACCACTAATTTAATCTGTGTGAACAATTATAACCATTGAAGCTGTAATAATGTGTAGTGAATAAACTCAAGTGTAATATATTGTAATTGTTTCATTTATTGGCGTGAGTCTCCCAGAGCGGTAAGTGGTGGCGCCCTGAGATCCTCCTCACAGAGTCTCTTGTTCACCGGTTGTCTACCGGTGGTGACGTGTCTAGAAGTGGTGCGACTCAGCTCCGTGTCTCTCGACCCCATAGACCATCTTTTGGGGAGTGACGCGACTGGGCCTCATGTAACATCGACATACCAGGGACACCCTTAGACACAGACACGTTATATTTTATTTATCGATTGAGGCACTACGAAGTCTGCCGGGTCAGCTAGTTATTTACCTATACCGACCTTAACCTCAACTAGTAAAAATTTTGGATGTAGGTATATAAGGGGTCGCGAATTTGTAAAGAGTATGCTAATGGATCGCTGTGTAAAAAACTTTGAGATTCGCTGGTCTAAGCTACATGAAATTATAAAACTTAATTTAATGTTTCGAGTCGTTTATGAACTATATTTGCGATTAATATTACTTTGTGAAAACTAAGTCATCGCAAGGATTGTTCGATCAATTAAAAACAAAAAAATATTTCCACAACTAATTGTCATTAATGTACCGACTTAGAAGTCAATGCTTTCACTTTAGTGTAGACATGATTAAAACACTTTTAATTTTCTATTGCTCGAAGAAAACTATCTAAATTTATAAAGCAAACTATGTATAAAAATTAAAACATAAATTATTTAAATCACTGACTCTCAAACTTTATCCGTCACGTCAATTTTATCGGTGAAAAAATATTTCACCGCATCCTTATCGGTGATGTATTATTTTTCGACATTAAAGCGGTCTGGAGAAAACAAAAATAGGAAAAAAATATATAGGTAGGTTTATTCATTTATCTTGCGATGGATGAAATTGTTTGAATGATTTATTTTCATTAATTCCTTTATTTTATTTGCGAGTTTCGTTAATGACCAAACAAATATCTTCATGCCTTCTTAACAATTTCAAAATGTTTTCCATCTTTTCCTGCGTATTCAGTTTGGGAACCTATGCTCTAACGTGAAGTGAAGTAATTTATTCTCTAAGTAACTAAGTCTCTAAGTAGCATTTAGTGCTTAAACTGATAAAATTATAACTTTCAGTAAATAGCGAAGCAGAAGTGTTGTCAGGTGTAAAAAATAACAATCGGTGATTATAAAATAGCATAACGAACTAACCACATCCAGTCAATCACAATAAGACAATGTTCGATTCTCAGAAATTATAAAACTACAAACAAAAAAATTGTTCACATCTGTTTTTATACATAATACTTGATGAGCGACCTTTCCACAATACGGTCAGGCAGGCGGTTAGTCTGCGCGCGCGCATCCCATTGGCACGTCGCCATTTTTATTTCCTCGTCCCTTTATTATTGATAAAAGAAAGTTTTTTGAAACAAATATAGAAAGGTCAATAGCGTTATCTCTAATTTGACTTTTCAATATTTGATTTGTTTTAATTTGTAAATAAAACTTCTCGTAATTTAAAATTGTTTATCATTGTAACTTATTATTGAAAAACAATTTATGCTAACAATTTCTCAGAGAGTGTTCTGTTTTATTAATTTAGCTAGTGATGTTCAATTCAGTGATAAAAACCGTAATCACAATAAGATGAGACATTCCAGCGTAAATATGTTAAAGTTGTGTTTTTTTTATTCGTTTATCATTGCGTCAGTTCGGACGGAATTGTATGAGAACAATACAAATAAGAATTTAAGGTATTTAAGTACATAACTTTTCTGTCATTTTATATTGAAGTAGACCGGCAAATGGCCCAGTTTATGTGAATTGGATACAAGATCGTAATATCAAATGTTTCAACGTGAACACTCACGTCAAAAAACAATACAGCAGGATTTTTATCGAAAATACGCTGATTTTCGGAAGTTTTTGCATAAGTAACTCAAGCTTCACCATGGCGGGTGGACGAGCTTAGAAGCTCAGCTGGAAGTTTATCTGTTCCGGATCAATCGATAACTCCATGCCAATAGGAGCATCAACATCTTACTCCCTAATTAAACTGCATAAAATCATCATACTTTGTGTAATTACTGTATTTTTATTAATGTATAAAAATGAATTGGGAGTACACCCGGGTGGATACCATAAACTTTTTCTGCCGCGGTAATGAATTCCGGTTCGAAGACTGAGACACTATACTCGTTATACTATACAATTGAAGCTTAAGCCTCATGTCTCAAGGTGTTACGGGCTTCGGTAACCACTTCACATCGTTGGACCGTGAGCTCGTACCAGCGCAGGTAAAACTTTGATAGTATGCTTTAAAATAAGCTTTGTCGATGGTTTCAATGGTTCCCGTAACATCGGGTAAGTCGTAAGCCCTCTCGGTAATAAAAATTGAGCAAAATATCCCTAGTTAAAATATGCAACAACTCCCAACACTCATACCCGATCCTGTAGACCGAATGGTAAACAGTCGACATCGCCCAAAACACGTCATTACGGATCCTCCCGATCCATTAACGGTACTTTTAGGTACCACAAGCACCGGTCACCGTCCTTGTCGGACCCGTCGCTTGCGACGAAGGGCTTGACGAGCGAATTAACCCATAGACACAGCCCACTGAGTTTCTCGCCGGGTCTTCTCAGTGGGTCGCGTTTCCGATCCGGTGGTGTTTTGCGAAGCACTGCTCTTGCTAGGGCCAGTGTTAGCATCACTCCGATTGAGCCCCGTGAGCTCACCTACTAGTTAATGTTACGTTGAAATAGCCTCTCAAGGCTATAAGAACTTAACTAGACGCGACCTGAATGTCCTCGTCCTTAACAACCTTCGGTCTACCACTGCAATAATTATTGTACATGAGCTTAGGTAGGATTAAAAAAAAATCCTAACATATAACCACTCCCAATCTATTCATTTTCGTTCATCATCACTGGACCGATGTCGTCACCGACTTCTTCGTCCCACAACATGTGGGGTCCCGGGCAGACTGTCCTCTTTTTCCCCTAAGCCTAAGAGCCTATTCTAACTACGCGCAGACGGGTAGGTGAGCTCACGTTCTCAACTTGAGCGAATTGCTAACACTAGCCTTAGCAAGTGCAGTGTTTCGTTGAATCTACTACCGGAATTGCGACCCCCTGAGAAGATCCGGCGAGAAACACACTTTAAATAAATAAACTAATACAACAAAGTACAGTTTCATTGATATTCCGAGCCCCTAAAATTAAGGTGGGGGCCAAATTTTCTCATTGTAATGACCGCCTCCAATAACCACTCAATGCTAGCTGGACCGTAAGTTAAGCTACTCGTGAAGAGAAATATCAGAGGAGAACATCCCGGATATCTTTTCGATGGCTAGGCTTGCTATGAGCTCCCACGGTTTGATCACGCATCTTTCACCTCATGTCTAGTTGAGTATAATATATTTATTTTGTCTATCGGCTGTAGCAACCCCCTGATAATCTCTAAAGTACCACCGCATTCTCCCTCTACCGAAGTCTACCGCAGCCTTGGTTCGAACCTATGATCCTATGTTTATTACTCCGCTTTTTTCATTCCTCCGTGCCACGAGAACACAACATCAATGATTACTAGGAAGCACTTAATGGTTGAATACATGTATTTATTCCGTTGTACTGTAATTAAAGATTGTTCTTCATAATTGTTCTTACACAAACAATTGTGTGTGTTACGTAAGTTCGTAATTTCATTATTATTATGTTTTTTTTTTAATTACTTGGCATCATCGATAGCCTCGCATACTAATTATGTACGAACCAATTCTTCTCAGTTGTACACTCCTAGCTTAATGGCCGTGGTTACGTATGTCTTATTGCTTGGTTGCGGCTTTTGAGAGACTTCTCAATCTCTTTCTATTTGTGGCGGTACGTGTACATTCAGTAAGGGAACACTTAGTAGATGACTTAATCAGGTCTGTCCTCCTTTTGTCTACTCTTCCTTGAACCATTAATCGTTCCAATGAGCTTTCATTACGGATGATATGTCCAAACATATAAAGGATTCGCAATTGCACAATCGACGAAAGCCGTTGTTTGATTTGGAGCTCTTTTACGGATCAATTAAAATTGAATAATACTGAAATAGACAGAGGCTGTGAAGAAAATTCTATAAGGAAAACTTGCTTTTTTTTCCTACCTAAGCTGAGAACCTTGAGAGGCTATTTCAGCGTAATCTTAACTAGTAGGTGAGCTCATGGGGCTGAAACCTGACGACGTTGCTAACACGAACCCTAGCAAAAGCCGTGCTTCGCAGAATCGGAAAACTTGCAATGAATTGCATGGTAAGTGGTTACCATCGCTCATGGACGCCACCAATGCCAGGAGCAGAGCCAAGTTGCTTGCTACCTACCGTAATACCATGTTTACTAGCCAATGTCTACTTTTGTTTCCTCCTCCTTGCGTCGATAATCCTCAATGCTGAGGGTCGTGGCCTCCTCTAACAACTTTCTCCTGTATTATCCTGCGCCATTCGTGCCTATCATCAGCTGGGTGAATAGCAACGTGAACTGAAGTATTGAGAATGGAGCGTATGGTATGGTATATGTTTCGACCAGCGCATTGGACTTCTGCCTCTGGGGCTGCTTCCGTAAACCTTGCCTGTTACGACCGACGTCACTTTATCTAGGGTCTGTATATTAAACTAGCTGTAACCGCAAGTTTCGCTGGGCATTTAAATTAACATTATTATAAAATTTCTCACCCCCACAAAGATTCTCATCATTAACGCCCCCGCAACTGGTGTAGGGAGTCCAACACTCATATAAATATTAGTCTATCCATTAAGTACATGTATTTTCTACATGGATACCAAGTTTCAATTCAATCGGATGCATGGTTTAGTAGTTATAACGGAACATTCGTAAAATCCACTGTAGTTTTATATATTAGTGTAGATGAGGCTTTCTTCGGAAAGTACACATGGTGGGGTCCCACGTCCTTCCACGGCAGTTCTTTTGGAAGAGAGTTAATTCTTTCGAGGCCGCTGAAGCCTTGTTTGGTCAGGCTATTTAACCGCCGCCCGACATTCGGCGTTGGAAAGGTCGAACTCCAACCCAACCCTCTTCTGTTCTCATCCGGGCTTGATATCAATAAACAATAAATAGAAGTACTTTTTTTGTTTTTCTAAATATCTAAGTAATTAATTAAATAAAAAACGGTTTAATCAGAAAAGGGAATCCGTTCTTAGTCCAGAGAAATACATAAAATTATATTAAATCTTGAGGCGTCAGTGATTACTGTCGAATTTCGATCACTGTCATTATGATACGGATCATGTTAGTAATTAGTAAATTCTCTAAACCGCTCTTCTTTTGACTTATTCTTAGTAGTTACTTCCTAATCCATACATCAGCCCGCTGTGCTTCTAGCCGGAACTTCTCAGCGGTTTACTATTCCGATCCGGTACTAGATGTATTCGCGAAGCAGCTTCCCTTGAGCTGGTAAGTCTCCTTTGGAGGCGCTCGGTTAGTAAATCCCACCCCTCCTAGCTGGGCCAGTGCTCGCCCACCTGTCCTTGTGAAACTGGGAAGGCCTTGGATCCAACAGTGATCTTCCTTCATAAAAAAAATTGTTAATCAGAGTGCTCGTCTAATATCTGAGTCTGTGTTTATACATTATTTCAGTACATACCCATGCACGGACAAAAACCATTTATTCCTGGCGCCAGGAGTCTTGACGGCTGGTGGTACGAACAGAGCCTGCATCTCCAGGTTCTACCCTGAAGGCCCAGCGACGCTGCTCCTAACTCTTAGAGGTGAAAACGACGAGACCACTACAGCATCAAGGGAATTACCGCCAGGTGAACTATATCTTCGTTAAATATACAAATATCGATATCTATCTCAAACGAGATCACTAGTATTTCAAATGACATCCATACTTAGTACTTATTTACTTATAACTTATACTAATATTATAATAGTGAAAGTGTATTTGCTTGTTTTTGTGCGTCTTTCTTTAGCTTTGAGACGAAGCAACGGCTTGTAATATGTAATAGATGATTTGCAATAGAATTAGGTCAGGAGAGTGACATAGACCACCTTTTTTTCCCGAAAAAAACATCTCATACCCGCGACAAGGTTCACTGACCCTTTCTTTTCCTTAGCGGACGAAGCCGTAGGTAACACTTAGTAAAAATATAAGTGCAAGTCCTTAAAAATATAATGCTGTAGTTCAGGAATCGTTTTTTAAATTCAAAAACTACCATAAAGGCCCGCTAGAATCGAAAAAAAATTGATTAATGCAAAACAAAAATAAAACCCATAGACACATCCCACTGAGCTTCTAACCCATAGACACAGCCCACTGAGTTTCTCGCCGGATCTTCTCAGTGGGTCGCGTTTCCGATCCGGTGATAGATTCTGCGAAGCACTGCTCTTGCTAGGGTCAGTGTTAGCAACTCTCCGGCTTGAGCACCGTGAGCTCACCTACAAACGTTAGGGTGAAGCTGAAATAGTCTCTCAAGGCTATCAGCATAGGTAGGAAAAAAAAATTACAATATTGAACACAAACAAAACGTATTACATTTAATCGTCACGCGAATATAATATATTACGTAGTAATACTGAATCAATGTAAATATTATACATTTACGAATACCGTTACACAAACTACATATTCTGCACCTATAAACCGCCCGTGCAGGAGACGTCAATGACCTAGAGAAGCCTAGAAATAGCCACAAGACGTAGATGCAACATATTTTTTTTATTCAAACATTTTATCTTTTTCTTATTCCTACATTTTGCTAAATAGGTACGTCGGATCGCTGAATCATTGTTATTGTTATTTCGTACTGGTGAAGTTGTGAAGGGTAGATTCTTACTACTTTATAGATATACTAGCGGCCCGGTCCGGCTCCGCTCGGGTCTTTAACTAAAATTTCAACGATATTTGACGTTGTTTTATTCTTTTAAATAAAAGAACACTTATTGCAGCATAACTATTATAGTTAGACATATGCTGTCGCGACACTTTTTGTAAATAATAATGTGTTCTACAAAGTCGTAGAACATTATTTTATTCTACCATCAATAGTTTTCGCAGGGCACCCGATGTAAAGAATATTTTAGGTATTTTTTTTACACCTTGGGTTACATTATTGGAGTTTTAGTAAGGATCCCTAATTTTTTGAAAAAGATTATAGCCTATGTCATTCCGGAATAGTGTAGCTTTCAAAGGGTGAAAGAATTTTTCAAATCGGTTCAGTAGTTTCAGAGCCTATTCAATACAAACAAACAATCAAATCTTTCCTCTTTATAATATTAGTATAGATAGTATAGACAAATGAGTGTACTGTAACCATGCACACAGTTTGTGGACCACTTGAAGTTAAATGGCTACCGTAATCTACACAGCAATAATGCCGTCATCCACCTTAAGAAATGAGTACTAACTCACAGGGCGATGGGGCAACGCAAAGCCGACGTCGCCCGAAATACGTCTTGTACGCCGTGAAGAGATATATTATATGAAATAAATATCCACATTTATTATTATTTTTCCTACCTATGCTGACAGCCTTGAGAGGCTATTTCAGCTTCTCCTTGACGTGTAGGTGAGCTCACGGGGCTCAAACCGGGAGTGTTGCTTACACTGACCCTAGCAAGAACAGTGCTTCCCAGAATCTACCATCGGATCGGAAACGCGACCCATTGAGAAGATCCGGCGAGAAACTGAGCTGTGTCTATGGGTTAATTTACTCGTCGAGCCCTTCGTAGCAAGCGACAGGTTCGGCGAGGACGATGACCGGTGCTTGAGGCACCTAAAAGCACCGTTAATGGATCGGGACGATCGTTTAGGGCTTGTTTATAATACTTGACTTACAACAGCTTAGCGCTATAATAACTTTCTTTCAGGGGACGGAGGCTGTTTAGACTTCTCTGTACCTTTATTACCGAACACCAAAGCCGAACTCAACGTTAAAATAAAGTAAGTTTCTTTATTATACACACATTCATTAAATTGATACCATACTACTGTAACTAGGCTGATGTCTCTGAGATGACCACCACTAAACACCAAGTACACTTGTTTATCACAAGAGGAAAGAAACCTAATAATTCGGCCCAAGATGAGAGAGGAGGTTGAGATGCCATGGTAGCATCAGAGCGCAAAGCTACAAGCAAAGTCCTTTCCAGGTACCCCGTAGTGCAATGCAGCTGGGAACGTCACGTGACACTGAGGATATCCAGCGGAAGGGTGTTGCTGATACACGCTGAGCGAGCCAGATACAGGCCTGGGGAGATCGTGAAATTCAGGATATTCGGATTCAAAACTGATCTGACTCCTAACACTGATAACGTAAGTGGGCTTCAAGGAAGATATAAACGAATGGTCCGAGGCAAGTTTATTATGTGGTTATGTTTCTAACAATCTGTTTTTTTTTCTACCTTGAGAGGCGATTTCAGCGTAACCTTAACTAGTAGGTGAGCTCACGGGGCTCAAACCGGAGTGATGCTAACACTGGCCCTAGCAAGAGCGGTGCTTCGCAGAGTCTACCACCAGATCGGAAACGCAGCCCACTGAGAAGATCCGGCAAGAAACTCAGTGGTCTGTTACTAATAGTCCGCTTTGACTACATGAGATCCTCTGGCTATTTATATAGGTATACAATAAAAAAAAAGTTCTGATTAACACAACATAAAGAACTCAACTTCGCTCAATCACGATCCTAATACATGCTTTCAAACATAATTCCAACAAACCCGGTACTTATTAGGTGAAATAATTTATCTACGTACACACATTTGTTGCACACGATTAAATTATTAATGACGAAGCGCTTTTACAAATTAAAACTGCAATAACTAAGAGACAATATCGCCGAGTGCAGCGGAAGCTGAAACCGGTTCTTGAACACGCAAATGGAATCTTGTAACAAAAAGCGTGTAACATTGACATACATTCGAAACGAGATGCGTCTGCACAAATCTTTATAATTTCTTCTGTGCGTGCGTGTGTTTGTCACTGAACTCCTCCTAAACGGCTGGAGCGATTTTAATAATTTTTTGACGTGACAGCGTCTTATAATTCGATGAAGCCGGCTGCACGCACGACAAAACATGACTCATGCGGCGTTACCTCGCTCTGAGGCGTTCCATTTAAGGCTTGAAGTGCAAGCGAGAGCGCGCAACGAGCGACAAAGAGGCACAATCGGCCTCCGCGGTCGGCAGCGTTCGACATCTGTCTCTCTCTTACTTGAGTGAGCGATGCATCCGCGTGGACAGCTGCTATACAATAATACATTTACATGTTTTCGTCAAGTAAAAGTGAATGTGGTGTCAATTGTTTATAGCAACCATTGCGATAATTGAAAAATGAAACCATTCCATCAGTATTTTCTTATGACGTTGTCACGTTCAACTATCGTCAGTAAACCGACTTTACAGACAACAGATTTTTTTGTATGCGTTTGGGTGGCACCCTAGATGGCTTAGACTCACAAATCAGCCCGGCAGATGGCGCTGCAGTCGGTATCTAGATTATTTATCTATACTGCAACTAAGCAGCTGAATCGACTTGAATGAATTTTTGTGTATGCACAGGACAACCTCTGTCGGGTCCGTTCTTAGATATACAGTCAAAATCTGTTATAACGACATCGAAGGGACTGCTCATATTCAGTCGTAAAAACCGATAGTCGTAACAACCGGTGATGTTTAATGTGTATCGTGCAAGTATAAACAAATCGATAGGGAATTATTGGAAAAATATATTTACATAATACGCGATTTTTCTTCAATATTAATTTGTTTTCTTTTTCTTTGCGACNGCCCACGGTATGGGCTGGTCGAACATCGTGATTGGGCGAACGGCGGGGGCGGGGGTGTTGACGCGCCTAGTCGGGAGAGGGATGCTCAGCGTGGTGTTCGGAGGGCGACCCCTTTTGAAGAGCACCGCTGTGCTTTTCGTGGGGTTGATGTCGATGCGCCACTTCCGGAACCACTGTCCCATGGTGGTAGCTGCGGTCTGAAGTCGTCGGTGAAGCAACGCCTTCTTCCTACACGAGTAGTAGATGGCGGTGTCATCGGCGAAGAGCGCCAGATGGGTCTCCGGAGACCGGGGTAATTTAAGTACATAGCTTTTCTGTCATTTTATATTGAAGTAGACCGGCAAATGGCCCGGTTTATGTATCGGATACAAGAGCTCATATCGTAATATCAAATGTTTCAACGTGAACACTCACGTAAAAAAAAAACAATTCAATTGGATTTTTACTCTAAATTACGCTATGATTTTCGGAAGTTTTTGCATAAGTAACTCGAGCTTCACCATGGCGGGTGGACGAGCTTAGAAGCTCAGCTGGAAGTTTATCTGTTCCGGATCTAATGATTACTTCATGCCAATAGGAGCATCAACAACTCAACTCCTTAATTAAACCGCAAAAAATCATAATTTGTGTAATTACTGTATTTTTATTAATGTATAAAAATGAATTGGGAGTACACCCGGGTAGATACCATAAACTATTTCTGCCGCTGTAATTATTCCGGTTCGAATTGAAACTTAAGCCTCATGTCTCAAGGTATCACGGGCTTCGGTAACCACTTAATAGCGTTAGACCGTGACTCGTAGGTACGAACACAGATTAGATTTCGACAGTATGTTTTAAAATGCGCTTTGTCGATGGTTTCAATGGTTCCCGTAACATCGGGTAAGTCGTAAGCCCTTTCGGTAATAAAAATATTAAAAATATCCCTAGTTAAAATATGCAGCAACTCCCAACATATAACCAGTCCACCGTCCTAGTCTATTATATTATTAATTTTCGTTCATCATCACTGGAGCGATGTCGTCACCCACTATTACTGGTGGTAGGACCTCTTGTGAGTCCGCACGGGTAGGTACCACCGCCCCGCCTATTTCTGCCGTGAAGCAGTATTGCGTTTCGGTTTGAAGGGTGGGGCAGCCGTTGTGACTATACTGAGACCTTACAACTATATCTCAAGGTGTGTGGCGCATTTACGTTGTAGATGTCTATGGGCTCCAGTAACCACTTAACACCAGGTGGGCTGTGAGCTCGTCCACACATCTAAGCAATAAAAAATAAAAAATAAAAACTTCGTCGAAAAAAAAATACAACAAAGTTGTACAGTTTCATTGATACTTCGAGCCCATAAATTAGGGTGGGGGCCAATTTTCTCATTGTGATGACGGGCTCCAATAACCAATCAGTGCTAGCTGGACCGTAAGTTAAGCTACCCGTGAAGAGAAATATCAGAGGAGAACATACTGGATATCTTCTTGGTGGCTAGGCTTGCTATGAGCTCCCACGGTTTGATCACGCATCTTTCACCTCATGTCTAGTTGAGTATAATATATTTATTTTGTCTATCGACTGTAGCAACCCCTGATAATCTCTAAAGTACCACCGCATTTTCCCTCTATCGAAGTCTACCGCAGCCTTGATCCGAACCTATGATCCTATGTTTATTACTCCGCTTTTTTCATTCCTCCGTGCCACGAGAACACAACATCAATGATTACTAGGAAGCACTTAATAATTGAATACACGTATTTATTCCGTTGTACTGTAATTAAAGATTGTTCTTCATAATTGTTCTTACACAAACTATTGTGTGTGTTACGTAAGTTCGTAATTTCATTATTATGTTTTTCTTATGATTAACATCATCGATGGCCTCGCATACTAATTATGTACGAACCAATTCTTCTCAGTCGTACACTCTTGGCTTAGTGGCCGTGGTTATGTGTCTTATACTAATTATGTACGAACCAATTCTTCTCAGTTGTACACTCCTGGCTTAGTGGCCGTGGTTATGTATGTCTTATTGCTTGGTTGCGGCTTTTGAGAGACTTCAAAATCTCTCTATTTGTGGCGGTACGTGCACATTCAGTAAGGGAACACTTAGTAGATGACTTAATCAGGTCTGTCCTCCTTTTGTCTACTCTTCCTTGAACCATTAATCGTTCCAACGAGCTTTGATTACGGATGATATGCCCAAACATATAAAGGATTCGCAATTGCACAATCGACGAAAGCCGTTGTTTGATTTGGAGCTCTTTCACGAACCAATTAAAATTGAATAATACAGAAATGGACAGAGGCTGTGAAGAAAATTCTATAAGGAAAACTTGCTTTTTTTCCTACAGTAGTTATAACGGAACATCCGTAAAAACCACTGTAGTTTTATATATTAGTGTAGATGAGGCTTTCTTCGGAAAGTACACATGGTGGGGTCCCACGTCCTTCCACGGAAGAGATTTAATTCTTCGAGGCCGCTAAAGCCTTATTTGGATCAGGCTATTTAACCGCCGCCTGGCATTCGGCGTTGACGGTGGAAAGGTGGAACTCCAACCCAATCCTCCTCTTTTCTCATCCGGGCTTGATATCAATAAACAATAAATGGAAATTCTTTTTTTTGTTTGTCTAAATATTTAAGTAATTAATTAAATAAAAAACGGTTTAATCAGAAAGGGGAAACCATTCTTAGTCCAGAGAAATACATAAAATTAAACTAAATCTTGAGGCGTCAGTGATTACTGTCGAATTTCGATCACTGTCATTATGATACGGATCATGTTAGTAATTAGTAAATTCTCTAAACCGCTCTTCTTTTGACTTATTCTTAGTAGTTACTTCCTAATCCATACATCAGCCCGCTGTGCTTCAAGCCGAATCTTCTCAGCGGTTTACTATTCCGATCCGGTACTAAATGTATTCGCGAAGCAGCTTCCCTTGAGCTGTTAGGTCTCCTTTGGAGGCGCTCGGTTAGTAAATCCCACCCCTCCTAGCTGGGCCAGTGCTCGCCCATCTGTCCTGGTGAAACTGGACAGGCCTTCGGTCCAACAGTGATCTTCCTTAATAAAAAAAAATTGTTAATCAGAGTGCTCGTCTAATATCTGAGTCTGTGTTTATACATTATTTCAGTACATACCCATGCACCGACAAAAACCATTTATTCCTGGCGCCAGGAGTCTTGACGGCTGGTGGTACGAACAGAGCGTGCATCTCCAGGTTCTACCCTGATGGCCCAGCGACGCTGCTCTTAACTCTTAGAGGTGAAAACGACGAGACCACTACAGCATCAAGGGAATTACCGCCAGGTGAACTGTATCTTCGTTAAATATACAAATATCGATATCTATCTCAAACGAGATCACTAGTATTACAAATGACATCCATACTTATTACTTATTTACTTATACTAATATTATTATAGTGAAAGTGTATTTGCTTGTTTTTGTGCGTTCTTCTTTAGCTTTGAGATGAAGGTTATATAAGGTTTAACATGATTTTAAAATAGAATTAGGTCAAGAATGTAACATAGACTACCATT